ACAAAAAAATATATTTTCCTAGAAAAGCAAAGTATAAACCCTATTTTTGACCCAACAATCTCCCCCTTGGTTTATAGCTTTCTTTTCTAATTGGCCCAACAAACTCCCCTTAAAAGTAGCTAACTTTTCTTGTTAATCTTCATTGGGAGCTTGGATTCATCATTAATCTTCAAATTTTTTCACAACATTAAGATGAACATATGAATCTTCAATATATGACTTCATCTTGAGCAGTTGGGATTTCTGCAGAATTAGACATTGAACACACATTGGGTGAGGAGGCTTCTTGTAGAGATTCAGGAAAGATGGTGCTTTCAGCTTTAGAATCTTTAGAGGGAATAAAGAGAATGAATCTTCTGGATCACTTCAGCAGGTTTATAGATAGCAGCAGATTCATTGAGGAGGCTTCAATGCAATCTTTCACATAATCTTCAAGCACAGCTTGAACTTGCTTCTGGGGTTGTAGGATTGAATGTTTAAAGAATAATCTTCATTTCTTGCTCCTTCAAATGAAAATTCTTCGATGCTCACGGATGAAGCTTTGGCTTAGAAATCTCTATACAAACTCCACGAGTCTCATCTACATCTGAATTCATTTTTCAAGACAAAACAAAACTAAAAGAAAAATCAGCACACAAAAAATATTTTTGGATTTTTGATATTGTCTGAAAAAATTAAACAGAAATAACACTATTTTTTTTTTAATTTTTAATTTTTAATTTTTTGTTTGATTTTTGAATTTTTTTAAATCTCCCCCTAAATTTGTGCATAGAGGAAAACTATGAACAAATTTAACAAAAACAAAAATATTTAGGATCAAAGTTGTTAGACAGTCTTAATCCGTTTGTCAGTACCTTTCCCTTCATAAATAGATCTGGTCGATCGCTGGTATTGTGGTCCACTTAAGCACGAAAAATTATGACAAATTTTAGGAATGCTATCAGTGACAGGACAGATTGATCCTAAGTTACTAGATAAAAATTCCTAAGGACCATTTATTTGACGACGACCAAGGATATTGTTGTCAACCTTAATTGAGCAGCGAGATCTATAGACAATCTAGAATTGTTCAATTTTAGATGTACTAGACCATGTTTCCTGCTTCCTGATTATTGTATACCCCAATAATCAAGAACTTCCGAGATACTCCTTACTTTAGGTGAGCAGACCATTATTCATAGAGAGGATAGATTTAGATTATGATTAATTATAGTTTTAGAAGGATTGAGAACTAGAAGGTTCCATATGCTGTGTACCAGGTCAGATTGTTAATCACACAAAGGAGACAACATATGGCTAATAGATAGGAAGAATTTCATAGATATAAGATGTAGAGAAATAGATTTGCATATGTTGCAGTCCAGGTCGGATCTCTTCCAATCACATAGAGGAGGCAACATATGACTAACAGTAAGAAAGAAAGAAAACAATCTTCTACAGACCTACATTATTGGAATTCCCCAGTCGCTCCGTCAATACCGAAATTAAAGACAGAATCCGTACATCGAGGAAAAGTAAAACCACAGTTCTAGATACATGTCCTTTAGTGTTACTGGTGGATTCTCATGTATATCTACCTGCTCAACCTATCCGAGCGTCGTATTGTCAGGCTAAATGGAACTATCTAGATCAAGATTTATCAAGTCTCTAGATTCCTTAAGTTCATCTGCACCTAGTCAAGACCATTAAAATTTTCATGCCTACCAGCGCATCGAACACAGAGCCTAGACAATTCAACTTTTGTACCTTACACAGATTTAGATTGGCTGTTATCACTTGTTGATATCACTTCCCAATAATAACTACTAACGAAAAACTATTAAGATAATGAAGAATTTTCTTTAAAACGAATCAGAGTAAGATAAACTCAGGAGTATAGAGAAGAAAACTCAAATCGTAAGTCACCGATTGAATTTGCATCCAAAAGGTCTGAGAACAACACGCATAAACTCATAACAGATCTGAAAATTCTTCACATCGTTAAGCACAAACCCTAATGTGTTATCCCTTGCTTTCTTCCTTTCCTGCAAATGACATATACTCTCAAACAAAATTCTGAGTGTTGCACAGTTGAGAGATGCCTCCTATCATGTGCCTGGAACAACCACTATCCACAAACTGAAATATGATGATATGCCTCCATAGCTACTCCGACACAGAGCGGGATCAATTGGTCTTTGGAACCCAGTCCATTTTGAAACTGGGTTGGCCTTTGTCGTCTTTGCACGATACTCTCTCCCATGACATATCCTGTTTATCACAAATAGAAGATGTAAAAATATTAGAAGCATTAGATGATTTGGGAGATTGAGCCTTCAGAACCCATTTGTAGTTGGGTTTAACCCATTTCTTTTTTGATCTGATGGGTGGCTCAGCACTTGATTTTGAACTTGAAGTCGATCGTTGAGATGAATTTGATTTTGGCTTCACGGGAGCATCTCTTGGATTGAACTTCTTGTCCAACATTCCCTTCTTGCCCTTAGGATTTTGATTCATGGCCTTGGGAGTTGAACTCTTGCCCTTCGTGGCATTCGAGTCGCTATTTTCTGAACATGACCTCGAAGGATTTCTTTTGTAGAATCTCCCACTTTGCGCATTTTGCCAGCCTTGTGCATAGTAGGGAACGTATGCGCGATTAGGACAATTTCTGGTAATGTGTCCAGGTGTTCCACAGTGAAAACATGTCTTTTTCTTCACTGTGAAGTTGTTTTTTCCTGCCCCTGGTGGCATATCCTTGCCTTGTCTCTTGTTGTTTCCACATGCACTCTTGCAACAAGCACTCTGTTGCGTTGGAATTGGTGACCTGTATTTATCAACAACAAGTTGATCAGAAGCAGCTGAGTTCGAAGCAACAGATTCAGAGTTCAAGGAGACATTGGTTTGTTCAATAGTGTTCTCCTTGTTCTCATCTTCCGCTACTTTACCTGCACAGGAAGTAGAAACATCAGTATTCTTCACCTAAACACCCTCAGTTGGCCCAGATTATTCAGTCTTAACTGAAGTTGGAGCAGTGGTTTGGCCATACCGAGCAGACATTTCCTCATTGGTCTCAAGGAGTGGGTTATAGTTGTGATTAAAAGAAGGCGGCACAATGTGATACCTTAAACCTGTGGTTTGATTATCTTTAAAAATCAGTTGTTTTTCTACTAAGGACTCGACGGTCTTACTTGACGTAGTATAATTTTTGAAACTAACATCTGTTTATTCACACTTAATTTTCAAAGTGTCAAGTTCTTCAGTTACAACAATAAGTTTGCGTTTAATGTGATCGTAATTTTCACACTTGTTGCTATAATCTTCTTGAAGTTTTTGAAAATCCTTGATTTTGGCTTCTAATTGTGCTTTTAATGGTTTCTGACCTTTCCTTAGAGTATAGCCTTCGTATTTAAGCTCCTCATTTTCCCTTTTTAGCAAATCAATTTGTTCGCGAAGAAATTTAATCGTAGCTTCATAAGATGGAGTACATGAAACTTCATTTATCGGAATGGATGAGGAACTCATTTTTATAAAAATATGCCCTTTGACTAAAAACTCAAAAATCAACCCTAAAAGTCAAACTTGAAAAGTCAAACCGAAAAGCTAAATTTGAAAATTTTAAAGTCAAACGAGAAAGTCAAAATTTAAAGTCAAAGGTCAAATTTTTAAAATTCAAAGTCAAAATTTGAAGTAAAAAAATCAAAAATAAAAGTCAAAATTAAAACTATAATTTTTTTGGTTAAAAATTGAATTTTAAAATAAAAGAAATTGAATTTTTGGGCTAATAGTGTCAATTTGCGAAAGTTGGAACCGAGAGGGACACTTTATCAATTAATTTTGGAAGGAGTGTCACAAAAGACTTGCTAGTCCAACTGGTAAGGTGGAGGGATTATAAACCAGGGGACCTGGGTTCAATCCCTGGCAACCCTAAAACTCCCCTAAAATTTTTAATGAACGATGCGAAGACTTGAGCTGAACAGCACACCATCCGAAGCTGCACACACGAGAAGCTGCTGAGCCGCATACACCTAGCCGCACACCTTTAACGGATTCACGAAAAAACGACGTTTTTCACCATTGTTTGCTCCAAAACTCGATCAAAAACTCGTTTTTATGAAAAATACAAAGAAGAAACCCCCCTTATTTTGGCCCGATCTATCAAAAAACGCAAATATCTTTTCAAAATAAGATCAAATAAGCTCAAGATCTGAAAAAAATTGATTGATACAATCCAAGCTCTGATACCAATTGTAAGTCCCCAAATTGCTTGTGCATCAATCAGATCCAATTGATGCTGCGGAATCCCAATCAATTGGATGATGTCAGATCAAATAGAAGAGAAGAAGAAGAAGAAGAAATAAGATGAATTTAATGATGTATTCAATAAATTGAGTGAAGCGCCATATACATAGATTCTCTCACACACACTATTCTTCTCTTTAGAACATGCTCCTCTTCTCTCTCTTCTATCCTTAATGAGACATGGGTCACCAGCAGCACAGGAGTGTACAGCTGCACACGCGTGTGCGGCTGTACACAGGGTGTGCAGCTGCACACACATGTGCAACCGTACACAGCCACAAAATTACAGAAAAATATATTTTCCTAGAAAAGCAAAGTATAAACCATATTTTTGACCCAACAAAAGCCAACATACACAATTATATAATCACAAAAAACATGAAAATAAATAAGGTAATAAAGAAGTCATGGACATATAACCACTATAAGTCATAACCAGAGACAATTTGTAACTTGTTATGTTTCAAGTTAATCTCTCTTTAGGGCTGCTATTCCAGCTTCAAACTAGAACAAAAATTACATATCAGTTCAGCAAGGCCATATTGTCATATGCAAATACAAAATAATATAAAAGCAATACCATGTTAGATGAAGGTGCACCATGTTCTTTCTTATTATTCTAATTATTCCATATCATGTAATCAGTTTCAATTAGTTCAATGTGAACTGCAACAATATCGATTATCATTCGGTAGAGTAAAACCACATTTCTAACGTTATCAATTTTATTTCTTTTTATTATGATTTCTAAACCATATGAAGATCAAACAGAAAAAGAAAATTTGAACCTCAATGGCTTTGTTGGGAGCAACACGAACGACATTGCCCCTAAAAAGGCTTCTCTAACCTTCAATCTGCATAATATTTTGAAAATTTTCACCAACAAAATGTCGACCTGCTCCCTTGGGAGTGCACATCTCTCAGATGTATAGGTTCTTGGCACCAGTGTCGTCGGTGCAATTCATAGTGGAAGCCACTGGCAAACCAAGTGACATACAAAATTTGTTCACAACAGAACCTCCGCACCCTGAAAAACATGAATCAAATATAAAAATTAGCTGATGTTTTCATAAACATAAGAAATTGATTTAGTAGATGTATTTTTTTGTTATTATATAAAATCATTTTAAATACAGTGTTTGAACCAATAAATGATATAGCTTTAATGTTTTCATCATCACAAATGGCATTCACTATTTCCTGTCTCAAATTTTAAAAAAATAGTATTAGATTGATGATGCTAATTAATAAATATTACTATTAATGAGAGAAAACAAGTGAGATGATTAAATTACATTGGTACCATGAACAATATTCAAAACACCATTTGGTAAACTAGATTCCATTGAAAGTTCTAAAAGCACTATAGAAGCCCCTGAAAGAAAAAGTGTAAATGTATAATAACAAAAAATGTAAATGTATAATAACAAAAGATTTAAAAATAACATTGTTTTGATACAAAAAGAGAGAGAAAACAATGACGTGGATCTTTTTCTGATGGCTTTAGAACGAAAGTGTTGCCACAAGTAACAACAACTGGAAACATCTACAAGAAAGATTAAATGGATGATTCAAGAATTAAGAATCAAGAAGAAAGATAACTTGTTCTTCTTTTTGTTTATTCATGGTGAAACAAAGTAAGGGTAAATTCGGAAATGAGAATCATAATCATACCCACAAGGGAATCATTGTTGGGAAATTGAAGGGGCATATACCGCCACAAACACCAACATCGTTTCTAATGTTATAAGTATCAATTCCATGTGATACATATGAAGCAAGCTCACCTATTTTTAAAGATGTCATGATATTTTCATGTTCAACCATCTCTATAAAATACACACACAAATTAAAATTATATAAAATATCTTGATATATTTTCTTACTTTCCACACTTTTAATCATATAAATGAGCTTACGTAGTTAAACCTGAAAAAAATTATGGGTGAGGAATCAATACTATTACCACTGTAGCAAACATTTTTTCTAGATCGGTATGATAAATGGGTAACTGTAGCTACTCTTGTTGATAAAAACTAAAGTAAAAAAAACTAACAAAAAAGAAAGAAAAAAAAACATTTAGGATCAATAGAAGGCAGTAGAAGATTCTTGTGCTTTTCAACACTATTCCATACCTTGTAATCCCAATACAGAAAATAAATAAATAATAATAAGGTGAATTAAACAAATAATGAAGAGAAATACTTTAGATACCCATGGACATGTCATATCTACTATTTGAAGTTGTTTATTACTCAAAGTCAACATCTTATTGACTGCATCCCCCAAAGCAGGAAAAACCACAATATCTCCTTTATTAATCACATCAAACTGTTTCTATCCATTCTTTACAGGAAATAGTGAATGCCATTTGGTAAACAATATTCAACTGAAAGCATAACACAACATACATTAAAACTGTGATAAGATACTATTGATTTCTAGAAAACTAAGCAAAATGAATCATAATAGTACCTTAGAAAACTAAGAAAAATGAATCATAATAGTACCTTATTAATAGTAGGATTATGGATAATTTCATTTGTGATACAAATCTTATCATCAGGGAACTTTTTCTTGCTTCATATGCTATCTAAACTGCACACGCAACACCCCAACAAAAGCTATGAGATTCTACAAGCTTCACAGTAACATTTCCTGATGTGTACATGAAATTGTTTTCTTTCAGCATTTTTATGATGTTAAACATCATATCTATTATAATTTTCACTACATACTGACTAAAATCGCAATTAAATCAAGTGAAAATACAAAAATTGATATTATGCAAACATAGTTCTAAAATTGATATATTTAATTGATAATCTCTTAACCTGAGTTGTATTCTTTAATTGCATAGACTGATGTTTAGAAAGCCATGCTTTCATACTCTTGTAGCATCCTATCTATGTTATCATAGGCACAAATCAAATTTGATTGTTTTTAAAAAAACTAGTAAATAATTTATAAAAAAAAGTTGATAAGATCTTAATGGTTAGATAGTAATGAAACTTACGACTACTGCTAGAAGTTTACAATTTTTAGTCATTGAGTTAAGGGGTCAACCTTGAAACAAAACGAAGAATAATATGGATTTCATAAACATTCTCTAATAAATCGTAACTACCATAGTGAAGTTTTTAACAAAAAAGACATGTTCCCATAAATGGTATTTGGAACCCATGAGATTTGCAGATACATGTTTCCAATCGTTAGAGAACCCCTAAATAGAAAGGAATTTATGTGGGGTGGAAGGAAAAAACAAATTAAACCTTCGATTCCTAAATTAAATAGAATAAAAGAAGCAAAATCAGAGTAATCAATGAAAATGACAGACCCAAACCTGGATTTTTTTGATGATTTCTACATAACAAAAGTTGAGAAGGAAAGAATATCCATGTAAGACAATTTTTCAAACACCTTCTAAGAATATGATGTGGGTAGGGCTTAATTGAACTTGACGCAGATAGATCTCTAAGAGTGTCGGTGATTTTATGATGGTCTCGACATCGATCAGAGAGAATTAGGGACGAAGAGGTCGATCGATAGTGGTCAAAGGAGTATAAGTCGGAAAGAATATGTGATTCATAGGGTGAAGGAGCTGAGTTAAGAATCAAAAATAGGAAAACGGTAAATCGATAATGGAGCAATTTTGAGACGATATGTGAAGTGAAGTGGTTTGGATTTGTGGAAGATGAATTGAGATAGTGGCGGTGGAGAAGGAACTGGAAGAATCATAGATGTTCTTGGACTACATCTTGGACTGCTCGTGCCCATTTACCATTAACCCATTCCATTGATTAGGGAAAGAGTTAGGATGTAAGAGGCAAAGCAGGTTGCGAACACTGGAAAACTCACAGAAGAAGAATACGTATAGAGGAACTCAATGAGATGGTGTAGTTGGTGAGGAAAATTTATTTGGAACCACCTTATAGAAGAACACGATGGTGATTGGTGATGAAAAAATTGATTTGCGGGATTAACAACAGAGCAGGATGTTGGTGGTGGTGCGTCAGCGAAGCATAGAGCAACGGAGAAGCCAAATATAAGGGATGAAGAAGACTGGCAGTGATGATGGAGATGATACTGATTTTCCTTCCGGTAAGGCTTAAAGTGAGATAGATGAATGGTGGTGGTCGTGGAATCTGCAGCTCGTCGATCTTGTCTCCGCGAGTGGGACGTCGAGCCCAGATTGTTGATGATTAGTTGGGTATAGAGGAGAGTCGATCTGGGTGACCAGTGGCAGAATGTAGATCGACTTAATAAAACTGAGAAAATAAAAATTCGACGCGACTGAAACTTGAGTAAATGAGCAGTACAGTGGAGGGAATTAGAAGAAGATAGAGGAGAGACAGTTGGTGGATAATCCACCGCTGTGTAACCTTTTGATTCGAGAGTAATGGCGGTGACAGAAAGGTGTAATAAGATGTGTCCACAAAGAATCGATACAATGCCCTAAATTGCCCAAAACGAAAATCGTAGAAAAAAGTCTAGAAAATGACAAACCACCGTAATCAAAGGACCAAAAGTGCCAAAAAGACACCAAGTTCCCTATTCCTAAGAAGTGTCCATCTTTAATATACATAGTATAATTAATGGAAATCAAAGGTATCACTATTTTATATGGAATTCACATTGTACTGATAATCCTTTCCAAAATTGATTGTCAAATTTTATATTTACTAACATAAATCCTTAGTAACATTAATTAATTAGCTATTTTAATCAACTCGTATAATATACGAGTCATACAATTAGAAATAAATTATTCTTCTTTTATCAACTTTTATATATATATATATATATATATATATATATATATATATATATATATATATATATATATATATATATATTTTAATCAACCGTATAATACACGAGTCCAACACCTAGTTTTATTAAACACAATGAGAAAGTTACACAAAATTACTAAAAAAGAAATAGCTATAATAGTCAAAGCTAAATGTTTGCGGCCGTACACTCCCATAGAAACGTGTCCAAATCGATTTTCCAAGGCTTTGTGGTGATCCTAAGAAGGTGTTTTGGTCGATGCTATGCTTAGGTGAGTGTTTAAGTCCATTTTAGGACTAAAAAGATGTATGTTTGGTCACACATGATGTGTGTGCATCCGTACACACATGAAGATCATCTAGAACGATGATTTCATGGATCAAACTCGAGGAAAAGGATTTCTAATGTGTTGTAGTAATGATCTAAGGATGTTTACTTACTTTTATTGCCAATTGGAGAGGAAAACATGAAGGACTCTTGAGAGAGAATGTTCCAGCTTTGAAGGAGTAGTAAAAGGGTGTAAGGTTGACTTAGG